CCAGAAAGCTACACGGATACATTTCTGAGACGTGGAGTCATGATGGCAAGATGCCACCTGTGGCTTCGTCATCACGGTTCCTTGGAACACAGGCCTTCTTCACCAGAAAGGCGGGAGGAAGCCTTTAAGCAAGGATATACTTCTGGTGCCTAAGGCCTTTCAAACTTCACATTTCTGAAAAGGTAAACCAAACTGTTCTGACACAAAGGAAGATATTTTATCCAAAAGCTGTAACGACCTTTATAATTTCAGTAATCTTACCATGTCTACCATGGCTGGGGTGCCCAATGCTCTGCCCGTGGCAGGAGTGCCTTTAATGTCACCAAACCTCTACAAAGTCAATATCCTCCTCCCCGTGTTACAGATGGTAAAACTATGGCTCTGAGAAGTTAAGGAATTTTCCCACGGTCTCTTAGCCAGTAAACAGGATTTCCAGGTTGGCCTAGGACTGTCTAATTCCAATGCGGGAATAGAAAGTCATCTCTCCATGACCAAAATAGGGACATTGAATGGCAGATTTCAACTGTGTGGTCATCTTCCATGAAAATCTTTGATAGTTGATTGTTTTTTCATTGGCTGGGGAGTAGGGTGGAGAGGGGTCAACATTGTTATAGAACATGCACAGTAGGTCTTCTCTCCTGAATACTATACTATAGTTTCCTAGAGAAGACATTTTGAGTTTATAACCTCCAAAGAGAAATGCTCTTTTTAGATTTTTGGCTTGGGTGTCTTTGTGTCATGAAGATCAACTCCATTACTGGGGCAGGGAAGAGTAAAAATAGATTTCCCATTAGTAGCAACAAGTAGCTGTTGTTTGTCAGCCAGAAGGAAATTCTTTCATTCTTTTCCTGCTTTAGTTCTTTTTCTGCCAACAGTTAAGCCAGGTTCATTGTAGAGTGGGTGAGAGCCAACTTCATGCATGGGTGGAGTCTATGGTTACCTATAAGAGATGCCTTCAGAGATGTGAGGACCAGGGTGCTGAACCCAAGCAGGACTTGAGAGCACTCCCCCCCCCCAAAAAAAAAATACAGTAGAAAATAAGTGTATCTTTCATGAATATATACAAAATTGAAATTATTCAGAAATCTAGGAAGAAGCTATTTTAATTTAGCAAACATGCAAGTTTTATGTCATTGTCAAAGAAAAGGTGTTTTGTTTTGTTGTTTGAGATTCAGTGCCTACAAAAATCTACCCCAACTAACCTAAAAGTCTCCCCTTAAACATTTACCCATACGGATACCTGAAATTCCATTTTTTAGCAGTAAGTTCATTTGCTAAAACGTGTTCTCTTTCTTCTGGGTAGGCTTTCTTTCTTGAGGTAAATACCCTGGGAGTGAACACATTAGTTTTATATCCCTCTGGGGGAGATAATTAGTTATCATATGTGTTTTCTCCACAACAGAAAGATCCTGGGTCCTATAGAAGCATTTGCAAAGGGAAATACCAACCTCAACGAATGTGTACAAAAGTTAGGACAAATTTTGCTGACCTAATAGTTTTGCCCTAGGCCAGTCCCTAATTCTATAAAACTTGCTAGGGAACCATAAAAATCATGAAATTCTATTATTATAAGAATATTTAAGAATATTAATATAAGAAAATTTCTCTCTGTTTTGAGGCTTTGTCGAATTCACTAAAGTCACTTTTTTTCTCTCTCCATGGACAACAGTGCATGAAATGTTAGGGTTGACACATTTCTAGACCCCAGGTTAAGATCAGATAACCTTCATATTTTATAAACAAAGAAGCAGAAGGCCAGAGAGGCTTGTTTTGTGCAAAGTTTCTTAGTTGGTGACAAAGCAAAGATGAGAACTGAAGCAGTCACACAATCATTAAGAGAAATAATCCCCCGACCCCCATCAGATTCCCATCTGTCAAACATTTCAGCAAACACAAATAGTCGGTTACTCTCTTCAGGAAGAAGTTTGTTTAGTTCAGCCAAACTTATTATATTTTTCAACAGATGAAGTAAACCAGATTCAGAACTCTACCATTTTTTTTAACATATGGGGCATGGAACTCTGCTAATAGGAGTCGGTGTGTGGTGGGGTGAGAGGGGAATGCCAAATTAAATGAACAATTTGAACTTAAACCAGAAACATGCTGCTGATGTGAAAAAAAAAAAAAACACACAAAAAAACGATGTTGGCTATCTTAGATGCATCATTAACATTTCCCCCTTGAATTGTGTATGTAGGATGTTGTGCTGTGATATGTATATATATGTCTATGCAGATGAGTGGTGGGATGTGCATATGTGTGTACATGTGTGTACATATGGGTGATGTGGTATGTGTGTATATGGGTATGTATGGGTAATGTGGTATGTGTGCATGTGTATGGATGGGTGAAGTGGTGTGTGTGTGCATGTGTGTATGTGTATGTGCATTTGGCTGCTATCTTCTGTGAAAAGCAAATGGGAAGCAGCATTTGACCCGGTGAGGAAAAGCCCTTAGTTAACAGTTGAGCTTTCAAAGGTTAATGAGACAGTGAAGCAGCACTGTCACCCCCAGCTTACCCAGAATTCCCTAAAAGCATTAGAGAAGAAAGTTGGACTGGGGAGGTGGCAGTGGGGGAGGGGATACAGGTAGTATTTGGAATATTAGGACTTTAAACCAAGAACTTCCACATGCCACTGGTGCTCATTATCAGCACTACATTGATGAGAAGTCAGAAAAGGAGCTGGAGAAGGATGCCTGTCCATGGTCTCGGCTTCCTTTGGAATTTCTTGAGAAAATCCAACCCCTATTTGAACAAGACAACCTGTTACTGTTTTCTACTACCTTTTTTTGGCATTTAATCTAGAAAAACTGAAGTGCCAAGAAAAGAATTGTCACCCTAGATGTAGCACTCTAATTCAGCTCTACATGCCTATCTATAAAAGTATTTTAATGTTTGTAGACAAAACTGAAAGAAGTCCTTTGAGCACTTCAATAATCAGTGCACAGGAATTAAAAGACTGTAAACTCTGCCCAACAGCATGATAATGGTGGCCACAGAGTTCCAAGATGCTCCTTTAGCAAGTCCAGAATTCAGAAGCCCAGGGCAAGGGACTTTGCCTCTGCCAAATCTTTCCCTTAAAAAACACCTATCACTGGGGGAGTGGGATGTCAGCAAACATTTTCTATAAAGGATCCCTAGTAGGTATTTAACTCTTGGAGCCATAGGTCTTTGCAACAGCTACTCAACTCTGTTGTTGTGGTGCCACAGGCAATACCTGAATGCATGAGCACAGCCATGTGCCAATAAAACTTTATTTACAAAAACAGGCAGCTAGGCTGAGTTTGGCTCACAGGCCATAGTTGGCTGACCCCTGATTTATCAACCATGGAGTGGTGTGATATTTGGTAACATCAACATGTAGGAACTTACTAAGATTCTCATCAATCCCCTTTGTGCTTTTTATATTTTGTTTTCTTTCTCATTATGAAAATAAGATATGGTCATTGTAAAAATGTAGAGAAAAATAGAAAAAACACAAATTATTCATAATGCCATCAGACATACTCCTTCTTAGTATTTTGTTTTGTTTGGGCTTTTGTTTTATAGAGTCAGGGCAATGCTGTATATTATTGTAAGTGCAAATTTACTTAATTCTCATATTTTTATGCTATTTGCAACATAAGTTTGACTTAATTTTACTAATTTCTAGTAGATTGTTTATTTTTTTTCAGGACCCGTGAGGAGCTTCAGTAATATAATCTCTTCTCTCTGGTGCTTGCAATCTGAAGGAACTTACATAAGGGAGTGAACCCCACCAGCTCGTTTCTCACAGGTCAGGGTGTGTAATAACCCTGGAGAGCAGGTGTGTGTGTGTGTGTGTGTGTGTGTGTGTGTGTGTGTATGTTGGGGAAACAAACTTGTTACTGATATGATTTCCTTAGGCCCCTGTTAAAACCCATACAAGCCCTTAGGGAAATTCTGTATGGTTCATGCACAGTCCAAGCTTTGAGCAGCCCTGGAGGTTGGCAGGTCTCAGGAAATGCTACACCAAAATATGGTGCCTTGACTTTTGAATACTTTCAGCTAAGGAATTTGAGAAAACAGCAGAAGGAGGGAGGTCACAGCTGACCTTCCCTTTCCCCTTCCCCTTCCCCTTCCCCCAGACACAGGTCATAAAACCATGATGTGAGAACGGTCCTCCCCACACCCAGAGGAAATGAGCATCCTTATCTCAGAAGACAAAGAATCTGAACAAACAACAAACATGACTTGCTAAGTTTCCCCCAGTTGACTACACTTACCTCATGCTCCTTAACCTAGCATGCCTGTACACGTGTGTCCCCTCTTCATCCAACTTCGCATGAGAATACTCATGTCCAACTATTTCTTCAGGCCTTCATTCTTCACGAGGCTCCTGTGTCATGTAAATTTTATACTCAATACCTTGATATGCTTTTCTCCTGTGAATCTGTTGGTCAGTTTAATTTTCAGACCTAGTCAGGCACCCTAAGAGGGTGGCAAACACTTCTCCCTCCCCTACAGGGCAGTGTATCAGATAGGAGATTCCTATATATCCTTTCACTCCATGTGAAGGCTCATGCTCCAACTAGACAACAATGTCCCTGCCTTCCACATTTTTGTTATTGCCAATTTGGTCATTTTTCTAATCAATAGTATCTCGAACAGAGAATGTAAGTTCTGGTTTCCAAGAGTTTACAGGAGATAATTAAAGTGTAAAACCTGATGCCTAAAAACACAGGCATTTGGATTTAGAGTGGCTTTCCCATTTCACCCACTACCCTTGTGTGTTCCTAAAATAAAGCTCTTTCTAGTCTGTTGCTAAAGCGAGATGCACTTACTGAAAAAAAACAATAGGGAACCAGAACATGACTTTGGACCCGAATGATCTAAGCTAGACACAAATATAAAGAATGGAAACAAATGCAATAAGGCCCTGATACTTTGCAGGGTGGAAGTTACCAGTTGGACAGAGATTTACTCTCAGGCTCATGGGAGATTAGTCATATTTGCTCAGCAAATGAATAACATAAGGCAGCTGGGGTGATAGTTTTTAATGTAGAGGCCATAATTTTTTAAAAGTACTTAGAAATCAGAGACTTGCAGTGGTGTCTGTGAGAATACAAACTTGGCTGCAGACAAACCCCTTCTCTCCTCTGCTTGCACATCTGGGAAACAGGGGTAATGATAGTCTACCTCTGAGTTGCTGGAAGGATACACTGAGATCATTGATGTAAATCCTGGTGGCGAACCTGGAACGAATGCAGAGTGAGTGTTGCTGTTGTTTGTGATAGAACCAGGAAGGTAATTACAACTCTCGATGACTATTAAATTCTCGCAGACCTTTTATTGACAGTGTTGTACTTGCTCTAGTTTGTTTCTGTATTCTGTAAAGGTAATAAGACAATTATGTTATAAATTACACCATTAATTCATTTCAACTAGACTGCCCTCAAATTAATACTAATTAATGATGTTTATGTGTCATTTCAATAGAGGTTAGCATGTTTGCTTTGTAATACCACTGGGGGGAAGAAAGTCAAGTGTTGTTTTTTTAAGAATAAAAATGGAGGAAGCTAATAGAAAGTGAAGATGAAATATTTACTTCAAGCGTTATTCAGTCACGTTATGTGCTGCTTCTTAACAATGAGAAACTCATCCATGATGCCAGGCAGAAGGAAGATCTCTGCCAGATTAGGGTGGAAAAGAGTGGGGCATGAAGCACATAAAAAAAATCTTGAATGTTTCCAAAACGTTCAATCAGTTGCATTTGTCTGAACAACTTAGGATTTGTCAATCATCTCTTTTAAATTATTTAGGCAAGAAAGCACAATTTGGGAGGAGTGGGCTCCGGAATTGGCTCCAACATGGTTGATTATTTTCAAAAATCATCGCCCCAGTAAATTAAATTTAAAAAATCAGAGATATCTTATACCTTTTAGTGGTGACAGAATCTAAAAGGCTCCCCTTGTACAGAAATCAGAATTTTCCAAATTTTCCAACCATACCATGAGTCAGCTGTAGAAATACCCGTTCTCAGACAGCTCGGGGAACCAGCATTTCTAGTAAGTGGCTCTAGTAATCAGACAGGGCAATGCTTCCTAGCAGTGGTTCTCAGCCCTGGGCTTGTACTAGAATCTTCTAGAGGCACCAAGGGCAGCAGCAATGATGGATGCCCAGGCCCCACCCCAAAGTAAATCAGCATCTCTGAAGTCGCCTGGCCACTGAATTCTTTAAAGCTACCCAGACGACGCAGACACATAGCCAGGGCTGAGCAATGCTGTTTCCCTGCCTTGCTACTCAGTGCCATCAGCTGACATGGATGAGCAGCACTGGGGACCTGAGAGAGGGTCAGAAAGGTAGGCCCTGCCCACCCCAGATCCCCTCAGTGGCCATCTGTGTTTGATCAATTCTTGGGGATCTCTGCACATTGAAGGTCGACAAGGTCTTTCTAGTGCCTCTCAACAGAACACATCTTTCCTCCCCCTTCCTCTTCCCATTGCACCACCAGCAACACAAGTAGCTTCATGTATTTTCAGGGGTCATTTTCTTTATACTGTTGGCCAATGAAAGCCAACTGAAGAGGGATAGGGTGAAGGCAACCTATCTGTTTCAAAATCATTTATTAAAGTATGTTAACAGTGTACACTGCTCTGACCCAAACACCCCAGCAACATGTAATTGGCAGTTTCTGTTTTATGTCCCATAATCAAAGACATTAAGGATCACTAGCATTCACATCTGAGAATTCATTTAGACAGTTTTCTTTAATTAACGATGAAGACACTACAGTTCTAAGTACCAGACAGAATCGGGGAGGGGGCGGGGGGGGGGGGGACTGAAAATAAGCATAACACTCTAAAGAAAACTTGGAAAAGTGAAACACTTCTAAATAAAAATATATACCTGGCCTGGTACCCGTTACATATATACATAATGCATGTTATACACATATATACAATAAATGTTTTGGTAGCAATACAGACCATGCTTGGTCCTTTTGTACACAGATGAAGTAGCACCATGAGCAGCACCACCATCTTCAGATGATAAACCAAACTGCACATACATGAAATGAAAAAAATATATATGTATTTAATTTGGCCCACCCTGTAGCCAAGAGGTGTAAGGAAAGAGCTTTGCAAGAAAAATTGTCCCAGGAACTACATTCTTAATCCAGTAGAAAAGTTCTAAAACAACAACAAAAGCCCTAGCACTAAAAATGTCTATACAAATACAGGCAAGTTTTCCTGTTCACCGTATTTGTCCTATCATGTGGTATATTGGTTAACATTGGGGAAATTAATCACTTAAGCAAAGAGAGAAACTGAAATGCAGGGTGAATGGCAAAAGTCTAAAACACCAGATCTCTTGGAATATACATCACACATGCCAAGTCATCAACAAACCAGGAAAGGAAGACAACTCCCCAGCTAAGTCATACGTTTTCTAATCTTATAAGTTGATAATAAGCTCCTTATTACTGAAATTCCTTAAGATTAGGGTGAAACACCTTCAATATCCTACTTCCTCCCAGCACTTACATGATGTTCTGGTTACAAGGAGTGAGGGACACCTCAACATGCCACCTGATGCACATTTTCTCTATCTACAATTGGGGGGCTGGATTATGGAGCTATGGGAGGACCTCCAAGGTCTTCTCTGTCTTGGTTTTGGAAATGACCACAGGCACCAGCATTTAACCCTTGATGTTCTCCTAACTACAAGAAGGTTGTTTATGCTCTCCAGAGCAAAGCTCACAGACTAGAGGTCTTTCCTTGGTATTGGCAATGTCACATTTCTTCCTATCCCTAGCAGCTCATGCTTTTTTCTCTCCAGTTTCTCAGCAGCCTATGTGAATGCAGCATCACCGCCAACCAACGTTCACCGTGTCCTAGGAACACTCAACTCCCCTGTCAAGTCATTGCAAAGAAGCGATTTCATATTTGGCTTCCATCCATCCTCCTTCACATGCCTTCCAAAGGGTTCTGTCTCTCCCCAATCAAGGTCTTAATTCCCACAGTGTCTGGGGCTTCAACACCTCCTCATGTGATGGACTGACCCACGGAGCTCTGCCAAAGCATTTGGAGCACTTCACAGCCATCCCATTTCTCATGGCTCTTTTGTGTCAGTGGACAATGAGCTCCCTTCCCCCGACTTCAACCACCTCTAGTAAATAAAACTAAAATTTTCAACTACATGGCACATTGCATTCAGGAACATAACAGAGCTTCAGGATTGCACAATCCTGTTTCTTACAGTATAGTACAGTTGTTTCTTAATGCTCTGTCTCACACTTAAAAGATAACTAGCTAGGAGACAATAGTCAGGGAAGGAAAAGTTAGAAATCTCTACCTCTGGCTAGATGATTTTTACTCCACCTCTGGCTAGATGATTTTTAGTAAATGAACATTTGCAGTCAACCTAGATTAGTCAAGAGAGTCCCTGACCTTTGAAAGTGAGCAAGAAATAGCCACCAATGTAACATCAGTACAGTATTGACTCAGGCGGTTGATTATTAATGGATTCTCTTCACTTCTAGCTGGTTCTAGGACCTTTTCTTTTTTATTGTTGCCCAGAACGAAGATATCATCAAAGTCATGAAATACATTTGTTCTGTCCACAAAGGAAAAATTTTAAAACTCTGCCAAAGTCTCTAAAAAAGAATGCTATGAAAGTGGTCTCATGAAGAAAAAGCCAGTAACTTAGAGTTAAACAGAGGCCACCTGAATCCCCATTAACGTGAGCCCTTAGCTGGCCTACAAATACTTTGAAACGGATAAAAGTCAAGTCTCCCCAACAGGAACTGAACACAGGGACTCAGCAGCTGCTCAAGATCAACCCTCCCCCCCCCCCCCCCTCAAATACCAGCAACTTCCAGTTTCAAAACAGTGAAATTTGATACCACTTTCAAACCCAGCTTAGGGACCACTAGGAGCACCTTAGATAAGAATGTCTACCTTTATGCTATTTAACTGAACAAAACAGAGAACTAGACACCACGAGATGGAGTTTTCCAGTCTGTTCATTTCTATTCTGACCCAGAATTGGTTGATAATTCCACATGCAGAGGTATCTCGGTAATAATCAACGTTTAGGTTCCTTGAGAAATAATAACTAGCTTGACAGGAAAACGATTGGGGCTGACTTAGTTCATTGATTTCTGTTTGGAAGGAGCAGGATAGCCAACACGTCTCCTACACTAGTAAGAGTATGAGTCAGAATACTTGAAAAATGAAAGTTAGTTTGACCAACAAAGTGTTTTTCATAAAAGAGTAAAAAAAAAGTTCTTATCAGATTTTTATAATTGGTAGTGTTTTCTCCTAATAGGAAATGATGTAATTCAGCAAGTTCCTTGAAAACAATGGATTCTTATGACTACAGACCTATTTATCTTAGAAATTGATGAGCATGCAAATGATTAGAATCTGCAACAATGAACATTGTACAACAGTCTGTGAGGTACAGGCCATCCAGTTGAATTAGCAGTAACATGGGGCCTCAACAGTGTGAGGGGTTCCATTTATCGCCCCTTCCTTTTGAGTACAGTACCCCCAACCCTGGCCCCTTCCTTCAGCCCACCCCTGCCCAGGGAGCACAATCCTACAGAAAAATAAAATGCTGCTCCATCAACAGTAGGGCTGGGAATTTCTGATACAGAGTTTACATAGACGCCGAGGGAGCCTGATATTGGCATTACTCACTTAACTTGTAGGAAGTTTCCTGGTAAAAAGGTTAAAAACTTTGTAGGCAATACCTTTAAGTTCATTGCCATTTTCTATTTCCAAAGGAAAAATTCCAAGATATGAGTACTTTCCAAAGAAGAAAAGGATTAACATTTTCACTGCTGGCTAGATATTTCAATAGCTGGTCATTCAGCTTTGATGGGCTCTCTGTACACTGGGTTTTATTAACTCATCACTAATAGCCTAGTACCCACAAGGGCAAATGGGCCAAATTACATTCAATTAAGTCATGAAACACTGGAAGTTCTCAGAAAGCATGAGATAAGCTCTTAAAGAAAGTGACATGTAGCTCTGGTCATGACAAAAAAAATTAAAAAATAAAACTTTCTGGAATTTTAATTTCTGGTTAGAAATTAAAGACAAATACTCACTTGTCTTAGTATCTTTCTTGAGACAGTATAGGAAATGAAACATCCTAATGTGTGCACAGAAGAAAATGGTGCAATGTAGCAGGAAGCTTACAGAAGTGGGGGGAGGGGAGAAGAAAAGATCAAGTCTCTAGTTTATTATGAATAGACAGAAATTTCCAGAATTTACAAACACCCACATTGTTCATTCCAAAGAAAGCTTTTGATTTGAAGGGATTGCCCATGTCTCCTTCTCTGTACAGTATGTACAATGGAAGACTTTGATTTCCTTTTCTTACCTTTCGGCTTCCATTCAATTGCCAATGTTAAGCTGACACTCGAAAATACCCAGTAGACTATATACCCTTCTTCAGTTCAATTAACATGGCCTATTGCCTTACAGGAAAAATATAAAATTAAGATCAATTCTTGTAAGGATCTCAACTCAACACCAGGGCTATAATACAAGAGATAGAATCAGCAAATATAACTATACAATTGAGAACCACCTATGGCACTATGATTCTTATATTATTTTTCTGAGTTACAATCTTAAAACAAGGGCTGTACCCTAGTCTACTCTTGTTAGCCTTGTTTTAAGCATTTGCTCCACTCTTTACAACAGAACATTGCATACCTCAGTTCCACATCCAAAAAAAAAAAAAAATGTGCGCTGTAAGAAAAGTTACATTTTAATTAAAAAAATTACACATATAAATCAAAACCTATGTTAAATATTTAACACTCTCTCCACCCAACGTGAACCGTTTTGTGTGAAATAATTTACAACGATGCTCTGTCGCACAGTTTCAGCAGCAGATGAAATGTATCGTGTAGATGGTGATGAGAGGAAACCCATTCTCTCGCAGCATGGTGCGGGGCACAGCAGCTCATGTGGCCAGCTAAGTCCTGAAGGTTGAAGATGAAATTTATGCAGACTCATTGTCCCGGTGTCACAGTGCTTTTTTTGCTTGGCACAATAAAGAACGTGCAGTTCAGTCAACGGACTCCTGAGGATTTGGAAAGTAAACAAACTGAAATGGATGCATCGTACCATCTACAGAGGAGGAAGATGTGAGGTCCTGGTTGTGAATCATGAAATAGTTCGAGTCTGGGTACCCATGAGTTAGAGGAGGATTTGCTGAGGTCATTTAGGTCTTCATTCTGAAAAGGAAAAGAAAAGAATTCATCACCTGGGCACCTGGACATCACTTACTACTAAAGAATAAGTCAACCTGGATAGAGAGGCAAAGTCAGTCACAATCAACCCTAGAACTCGGGTTCCTATTTCCAAGGCCCAGAGCTCTTTCCAGGAGACCATGCTACTGGTTCCCTTCACCTTGGCCGAACACTCAGCTCCAGGGTGGTTGGGATAAATCTGGGATGACTTATTGGGAGAAACCTGGGAATACAAATAAGGTCAAATCATTTCTCTTTTGTCTGTAACATCATACTCTGGAGATCAGTTTCTTTCTACCCCCCCCCCCCCCCCTGCCCAGCCAAGCTTAAAAAACCACCTGCTCCACTGCCACACCACCCATCGGTGACGTGTCGGGCCTGCAGGGTCCCATTCTCATCCTTTGCAGCACATGTTAAGGAGCTAGCTCATCTGGTCTTTTAGGATTGTCCTATGAAACCCTGCAGTTGTTAGGGTTTTGCTTTAAAAAGAAGGCCTATCATATCAGATGAACTGAAGTCACAGGCACAAACAGTACTGTGTGCTTAAATAAAATCAACAAACTGTATTTAACTTCTTTTTTTCTCTCAAAATGCAAGAGTCCAAAGCAATCACAAACTCAAAGTAGTCAATATTAAGTCAGCAAACAAATCAATGTGATTTGGAGGTTTCAGAGGCTTAGCAACACAAAAATACACAGTGCTCTGATGTTCTTACGATCAAAACAAAAATGTACACTACAGTTATTGTGGAAAACTACAACAAAATAGGGCAAGCAGGTAACAGTGAGGCTATGCTGAATCTTCTTTTGGTTAAAAGTCACCTGCAAATTTTAGAGTTTGAAATCACAAGGCTTAACATTACAAAATCTGAAATCAGGTTTTAACTTGCTGTTGTTTGACATGAGCATTTTAGACACAAAAGGAAACCCAAGCAAAACAGACCAAGTTAATCATTAAATTTTAAAAAAAAAGATTCTGATTTAGGTTGAATAGAATAAATTATTCTGGTGGAAGCACATTTCTTTTCTGCAATTCAAGAAGGCAGACCTCAAGGGGCATTATCCCCTCCCCTCCAGTGAGTGGATCCACCTTTTCAACCTCATAAAAGTTTCTTAGGTTCTCAAGTATCAACATTAGAGAGTCTTTCTGGCATATATATTTTTAATTATTCTAAAGTTCTCTATAAATATCAACATTTATAGAATGTCCTAAATAGAGCAGTTAATTAATAAAAACTTGTTGAATTAGTAAAATGGTTGCATTAAATACTATGGAGACTACAAAGCTGAATTGTGCTACAGGCCCTGCTTTCTAGAAATTCTAGAAAGGAAGCTCCATTCACAAAGAGATAGAATACAGAGTAGAAAGGGGTGAATTCCACAGTAGATGCACAGGAAGAAAGCTCTAGGAGCACCGAGGAGGGAGAGAATACTTTAGCTAGGAATAGAAGGGAAGTACCTCGTTAACACACTTGGTTTGGTTTGGAAGACAAAAACATTTTGGGGATGTGGACAGAGGGATTATGTTTATGTTGCTTCCAGTTGCACCTCCAGAGCTTAGCGCAAGGGCTGGCACATAGCAGGTACTCACTAAATATGAGCTGAATGAATGATAGAGACAAAGCACACTCTATTGAAAGCACATAATGAAACAAGGCCCAGCCATGGATCGACAGGTCCAGTCAAGAATGTGACTTCATTGGAGCACGAGGCATCTGAATAGGGGTAGAAGGAGTTAAGTCTACAAATGCAGATTGGGATAGATGGGGAAGAGCCTTGATTGGCAGGTCAAGACACCTTTATCTAAGTCTATGGATAACAAGGACATACTCTGTGATATGATCAAAGTGCAGCGGTGATAACCAATGTCAGCTGCAAGGACAGTAATGGCTTTTAAAACTCACACAATGAAAATGTTGAGCAATATAGCTGTTTTGTTTTTTTCTCTTTCCTCTTGAAGGAGGGTATGGCTGAGATCAGTCAGCATTCACTATTTATATAGTGGCTCAGGTAGGTTGAAATTTACCAAATGAGACCTCAGTATTATGAGGAGATTTCTATTTATATTAAAATATTAACTCTACCCCTAAACAATAGGAAAAATGGCCTATTATAAAGACTTGACAAGCAGACAACACATGACAAAAAGGCATTCCAGGTTATCCCTTAATTGCCAGAGAAACAGGATTGACTTTGCATGGTTTCTACAAGTGAAAGGCTAACCCATCCTCTCACAACCCTCAGAGAATGGTCTACAGATCTCTTAGTTAGTTTCAAGTCTCTCCTGAACTTATATTGTGATCTATCAGATTGCTCCTACCAGAGTATCTAGGTACAGCTTAACTAACACAGTTTCACAGTGCTGGGCTGAAAATGAGGTAGGAAGGCCACACTTTATTAAAGGGCTGAGACCAACATACTGCCGCATGTGAAATGAAGCACAAGTGAAGGTCATGTGTTGCTTTTATATCTGGCTCTCCTCCAGAATGGCTGAATGAACAGTTTAGCACAGGGACAAAATGTATCCATCCAGTCTTATCATCACATGGGCCAGATCTGCATGGATGCAGAAAGGAGGAGAC